GCTGCGACGCGGCCGCGTTGTTGGAGGCAGAAACGGGCAGAGCCGCTCGTCATCCCGCGCTCCCCCAGGCTGCGACGCCCGGCCTTCCTCCTCCTCCTCCTCCTCGTCGCATGTTACGAGAAACCCCCCCGTGGGGCCGCAGCTGCTGCTGACAGCACCAAAACCGGGCCCGACGCCTCCGCTCCGGCCCAGCTGGAACAACCCCGGGCGCCGGGGCCCGCACGCTCAGCCCGGATCCAGCCGCAGGGTCAGTCCCCTCGGCCTCACTGGGACACAGGCACCACAACAAGATGCGCAAGGAACCGAGCCCGCCTTGTGTATTCAGGAGTGCAAAAACCGCCCCATTTCCCCACAAAACCAGCTCCCTGCCTGGACTCGGAGGCCTTTGGGACAGAGGCCGCCTTCCCTCTAGGTTCAGCGCAAGGAAATTGCAGCCCACATCGGGGCCGGCTTGGCTCTACCCCCGTGCACATAACATATAAAAGCCCTGACCATTTGCAGGTGGCCAAACTAACAAAACACCCAGGTTTTGTGTGACCTCTGCTGCAAGATGCAGCTCCAACGTGACGGGTAATTTTCCCTGCTCCCTTTGTTGACCACTAAAGACGAGCTCAGGGGAGAAACGCTTCTGATAATGGATAATAAATCATATAAGGCAGGAAGCCGAATGCAAGGGTTTAAAAATAGCCCATTTCCTTTCCCCTCTCCTGGGTCCAAAAAGCCAAACACTCCAAGTGGGGTCAGGACCCGCGGTCAGGATGTTTGCTGCCCGCGGCCAACCCCAAACACGCGGCAACCTCCTCAAAATCGCGACATTAACGCAAATAACTTCTCAGGGCTTCTTATTTGCTCTTCGGCACAGAGCCAAAAGGGAACACAGGATCCCGTTTTTGGGTTTCTCTTCCACAACCACGATGGTGTAGAAAATATCTAAAAAGCACCATTACTTTATGCACACACAACTGCAGGAGCGGCGGCTTTATGAGAAAAACTAATGACTGTGGGACTCATTAAAAAAAAAAAAGCATCGTATTCAGCTTGGCAATGCAGAAAAAGCTCTTCACAACACGCTGAGCGCTTTGCGTTGACGTCAGCTGCGAGTGTCCCATCGACTCCACAGGGCACAGAAATGCAGGCGAGCGCGGGTGCTGCGGGAGCCCTCGCTCTGGGGTCACCACGGGCTGAACAGACACAACCCCACAGGGCCAGAGCACCCGGGAACCACGGAGCTCTGCGCCCTCCGCTGCTCTGTCCCCCCCTCTGGGACATGGGGACATTTCACGGTCACTGCCACCTCCAGGGGACAGGGCCATGAGGAATGCCCCTTCATCCAGCCAGACCAGCTTCCAGGGGGACACAAGTGAAGGCAGATCCAAGTCACCAAGCTGGGTGCTGTTTGGGTCACAGCCTCGAGCGGGCTCTGCGCCGGGCTGCGGAAATCACCGCAGCGCCGCGAGGGAGGTGCCGGCGTTTCCTCCCATTGTGGGGCCGGGGAAGCCCTTCTCGCTGCTGCTTGGAAAGGCGCTCCGGGGACAAGCGCCGGGAGCTGCGGGGATTACTAGCTGCTGCTCAGGCTGCCGGGGGTTGCTCACACTGATGCTTCAAGCAAAACTTCTTGGACATCCAGCTTTTGATGCGAAGAATTTTCATTTCCACTGCCCCTGCCCTGCCAAGGCTCTGCTCAGCTGAAAGACTTGATTACAGAAAAGCTAATAACAAAAACAATCAGCCAGCACGACCTCTTCTTCCATTCCAGGACCAGGAAAAAAACCTTGGAAAATACCTTTGAAAAAAACCTCTTTGCCTACAAGGGGAAAATCACATCCGTGCTCCAGTTAGCGTAATCTGCGCCCAGACTCTCGATCAGAGCAGGTTTTCCCCAGGTTTGGTGGTGGGCTGCCCAGGTTCGGCCCTGCTGGCAGTTACGGCACGAGCCTTGCGGATAACAAGGTCACAGGAATGTCCTTCCCTTCCCCTCCTTCCACCATGCACTTTGCCTGGTGGATGCCACCATCTTTGGTGCTTGTGGTGCACCACTTGGCCACCAGCCCTGGTGTTTGTCCCCAGCGTGCCGCTTCAGGGGGACAACGAAAGACCCAGCTCGTTTTGGTGCTCCACAGCAAAGGCCAGTCCCGATCTCAGCTTCTCCCCCATCCCAGGAGGCTCCGTGTGCTCTGGACGGTGCCGTTTTTCCTCCCCACGTGCTGCAGAACTGCAGCAGTTTGGCAGGGCTGCTGAGGCCCAAAGGCTGCAGCAGCACCAGGGCCAGGCCCGTTCCTGCTGCTCCCGTCACAACCAGCACCTTTTGTCGGCTCTTTCAGCAAGCACCACGTAAGGTGACTGTAACCAAAAAGAAAAAAAACAGGAAAAGCATTTCTCTCCGTTGCTTAGCAATTGGTGTAGAGCCATTTGATTCTCCCAGGTGCTCAGGAAGCTACTGTAAGACGTTGCTACTCCTGCGTGTAAGGGTCTTCTGCACAAGTGGAGGAAAAAGAAAAATTACGGATTAAAAAAAAAAAAGGAGGAAGGTGGAGGCCGCAAAAGTTGGCAAGTGGAAAAGGGCATGGGTGCAGCCCCTAAAGATGTTGTATTATTGTATAGCAATAGCACAATAGTGTATAGCAATAACACAGTATCTCTGCTCTGAGGTGAGGCTCTGGTCACCTCTCCCAGGCACATTCAAGGGCAGGGAGTACATTTTTCCAGCGACAGCAACCGGCCAGAACGGCACATTTAGCTGAATCGCGTAAAAGGAGAATCTCGGAAACAAGAGGCGCCAGCTCCCGATCGAGCGAGAAATCCCCGTGGGAGACGGCCGCGGAGCCGGGCGCCGCTGCACGCGGCCACCTCCGGCCCCGACACGCTTCCCAGCCCTGCTCCCGTCCTTCCTGGCCAAGAAGGGCGGGATGCGACTCAAGGCGGAGGACGGTTCATCCCTGCAATGGCCCTGGGTCACCCGTGAGGCTCCCGCTGTCCCTCTTGGACCCCAAGGCAGGTACCAGATGTCACCCGTGGCCAAGCGCTGCTTATTCCAAAGCCCAGTTTAAGCGTGGAGCCAAGAGGGGCTGCAGGCTGCGAAGCTGCCAGGCCAGATCCATGCAGATAGCTCCATGGTGCTGGATAAAACAGAGCAACACACAAGCTGGGTTTAATACAGGGGTTATTCAGTGCGGAAGCAACATGGAATAGTTTTAAGGATCAGGTCCCGGCAGTAAATGAAGCAGCAGGATGGCGCACAGCATGTATAGCATCAATACCATGAGAAAATAACCGAGGCGGCTTAAAATAAGAAACCCACAGGAACAATGTTAATGCGGGATACGGAAAGGGATGTCCCAGCAACGGCCCCACATCTGCTTCAACTGGACAAGCATCAGGGCAAGGACTGAGCAAAACCCGGGCACAGCAGCAAGGCAGGTGAAAGTCCCCAGGAGCTGGAGTGAGGAGTGAAACCCCAGTGCCAGGCTCTGGGGACGGGAAAAGCAACATCATTCCAAGCAAAGAGCTGGGATTGGAGAGAAGCACCAAGAGATGCGGCCGCAGGGACCGGAGCAGCACCAGCACTGCCAGGTTTCCTCCACATCGACTTATTGGCATGGCCCTAGGCAGGTCATTTGGGGCCAAACTCACCTCTGCCTGCACCAGGTTTGCAAAAACATTCCACTTGTGTAGCCTGAGCACGTGCATCCTCGTGACGTCTGCCGCAGGGAAGGCAGGAAGAGCCCGGCGGGAGCTGGAAAGGGAAAGTCGCCTTGGCCAGGCCGAAGCCAACAGTGACGGCGACGAGGAGTCAATAAGAATTGCCAAAGTCTTTTAGCATTCCCAGGTATTGTTAGCCACTCGAACAAAGGATGTTGGAAAAAAAAATAAATGATTTCCCTCTCGGTCCTGGGCACTTTAAAGCTTTCCGCTCGGCATTGTTTGGGAAAGGGAAGCTGTTCCGGCGCGTCGCTGCACGGCCAGCAAACCTTTCCGTGCTGGTTTTGGCACAGAGGAGCAGCGCTGCTCCAAACACCACCGCAAGCGAGCCAGCGCCGCTGACCTCCCTGGCTTTTACCTCCAGTTTCATGATTAATGCTGTTTTTTTCCTTAAATCCTTGGCTCCAGGAATCACATTGAGTGCCGAAGAACTTCAGTTTTCTTTAGATTAAAAAGGTCACCCCGCGAGCAGCGCCGCTCGCTTCTGACACGGTGCATCTCGCGGCGCTCTCGGTGCCTAAAACCGTACGAACTGAGAATGAAAATGTTTTTGTGGTTAGCGTGTTTGTAAGAAGCAGCTCCCACGTGGATTTTCTGGTGTCTAATAATACATTAACTCATCCAACAGATGTTTGGGGGCCTTTACATATTTTTTTTTTCCTCCCTCTCTGCTCAACCATCTAGTTGCATCATTTCTGCATTGACTTAATTATCCACGAGGCCTCTGCCAAATTTGGGGGAAAAGGGCCAGCGCTCTGCGGCTCTTCCCCACTGCCGAGACCGCGTCCAGCTCCGACGGCTCCCGCTCCAGGGCCTCATCCTGCAGCTGTCACCCGGGCCGAGAGCGTGGAGGGTTTGGGGCAGATGGCGACTGTCAACAAAGCGGGATCAGGGACTCCCAGGCTGCCAAGAGGAGCCCTGGAGAGGCGCAGGGGCCCAGCTGCAGCCTCCCGAGCACCGGCCGAAGAAGCCGGGCGAGAAGCAGCGACCCGGGAGGTGTTTGCAACAGTCCACGTGACTCCAGAGAACAAGGCATAAACCTCCAGAGCCACATCAGACACCGAAGACGGAGGAAACGTCTCACCCTGGGCTCGCAGAGGTGCCGCCAGGGCCCCACGTTGGCACCGAGGAGCCCAGAGCCGGGGCGACTCCACGCTCGTGACTGCAGAGCCGGGAGTTAAAAACACAAAATACCACAAGTTGGAGCCAACCCCGAGCCAGCGGACGCCCATCCCAGACGTTACAGCAGGGCTCACGGCGGGGG